AGTGTCTCCTGTATAGCCATATAGCCAAGAAGGCTAATGAAAGATAAAGATCTGTTATGAGTTTTGCTGTCTCACAGAATACAGAGAATAAAGAAATTCTGTAGATTTAATTGATTTTATCCCCTTGATACCCCTGGCTTCTCAAAATGGTACCAGGCCCCTTTGTTGTTGATGTTATCTGACTTAATTTTTCCATCAGGATCAAATTGTTATCAAGAGCCAGAAGTGTAGGTACAAAATGAGGTAAAATGTCTAAAGGTAAAATAATGCAAGTTAAGGCTCAGTTGGAAAAGCCAAGGAAAGTACTTAGATGCTTTGTTTTATTCAGGAGACTGTGCCAGCAATCCCTGACAGAAATGAACCAGTCAGGAAATCTCAGCCAAAGCCAAATATTTCTCTAGAATTCAGTCTTCTCACTTGAGCGTAGCTGTGTCATGCAACCTAATAATAAAGTCCAGAAACCATATTTTTCATAACTTTATGATAATACACAGACATGTTCAATGCCATAATGACTGCATTAATAGAAACCAAAGCATAGCACTGTGTCTCTGAATATAACAGAGGCAATGAAAACTTGCAGCCTGGACAACTGTTCTTAACTTTAAGTAGCAACAGAATTCAATAGCGGAGGAAGAGGTGATCAGAGCTTAGGAAACCTCCTCTCATGGTTGCTTAGGCATTCATTTTTCCAGCTCTTCATTTTTCCTTAATTTTCCTTTTTAAGCCACAGAAGCACTAAAGAAAGTTTGGGAAATAATTAAAGATCATCACCCATATGCCTGCCACCTTAAAGCAATTACCACTTGTAATATTCTCATGTAGCCTTATTTTTTCATATATATAAAACCCCACTTTTTATATCAATAGGAATGTATTACATGCACCTTGCTTTTTTTCACCTAAAATGTTTCTTAGAGAGAATTTAATACTGGCATGTAGAGCTGTCTCATTCTTTCTAACAGCTACATATTTGTTTGATGTATGGATGTAGCATAATTTATTTACCCAATTCCTACAGAATAAAAGGAATTGGGTACATTTTGCTATGACAAATAACACTGCAACAAGCATTCTAGTACCTAAATCTTTATGCAGATATGCAAGATACTGTTGGGATAAAATCCTAGGAGTGGATCTTTCGCTTGAAGTTTTATGTAATTAAAGTCACTGAATAGACACATAGTGTCTATTCAGTTTTGCATCCTGGATATCTCATAATGGATATTACACACTGTGAACATTTTCCATGTTGTTGTATAGCCTCCAAGATTAAAGTTTTAATGGTTTGTTATTTCTTATTAAGCGGATACCCTCAACGTTCCCTCTATTGTTAGACAGTTCAACTGTTTCTAATTATGTGCCTCATAAAGAATGCAACGACTCTCCATATCCCCTGTGTCTTACCCTTGGCCCACTTGCACTCTCTTCTCACTGTATTTTTCTTCACAGGGAGAGGAACCTCCATTCTAGAACATGGGTGAGGCACCCCCATTCTAGAACATGCTCCAGGTCCCCATGACTCTGGAATTCCCAAATTGATCCCAAGTCCAGTTTCTAGGCCCATGTATCCCTCTTCCCCGTGTACCAGGGGTGGCTGTTTGGGGAGATGCAGAGGATGTGGAGCTAGGGCTGCCAGCTGGGTCTCCACTTGCATGAACACAAGGCCTATGTCCAGTAGGACATAAACCAGGAGTGTCAGGAGAAGCAGGGAGCAGTCCCTGGACCTCCATTTATACTAGTTTACCCAGGCCCCCTAAATGTTGGAAAGGTTCTGCTGTAACACCCTTACCTTCTTTTCCCAGATTCAATAGAGTTCTCTAAAGCAGACTACTGAATTAAAAGTAAAATGGACCAACTAACCAACAACAACGACAACAACAAAACCCAAAACTTCATTTTCCAAAGTTATTTGTAAACTTACCTCTTTTGCACACCTGTCATATATTGCCAAAAATTATCATTTGCCAAATTTAAAGTCCTGTGCCATGAGAGATGATTTGAAATTGCATAAGGGACAGTGGCAAGAGGAGCAGTTGACTTCACTTCTGATCTGTACTATCAAAATCCTGCTATAGGGACAGGCAGAGTGGCTCACACCTGTAATCTCAGCCCTTTGGGATGCCAAGGTGGGCGGATCACCTGAGGTCAGGAGTTCGAGACCAGCCTGGACAACATGTTGAAACCCCATCTCTACTAAAAATATAAAACTTCACTGAGCGTGGTGGTGCACACCTGTTGTCCCAACTACTAGGGAGGCTGAGGCACAAGAATGGCTTCAATCCGGGAGGCAGAGGTTGCAGTGCCAAGATCACAACACTGCACTCCAGCCTGGGCTACAGAGCAAGACCCTATCTCAAAAACAAACAAATAAACCACCTTGCTCTATGAATTAGAGATCACTTTTCATGCTTGCATTTTGTTTGTTTCTTTCTTTTTTTTTGGAGGTTTTATTAGATGAATTCCAATGTCCTTTTTAATTTTTAATTTCTATGATTCTACATAACCAATTCAAACTTAAATTTTAAAATGCATTACTTTTTGTTCAAGCTCCTGGAGACTTTTACTGATCTCCTATTTTGTATACAAATGTTTGGGTGTTTGTTCTTCGCTTTTCATAGTTCATTTGAACTTGTGTTCCTCTTAAGTGAAGAACATTAAGGGGAAGAGAACAAAGAAATAATGAATGGCTTCTCTCTCAAAATACTTACAATGAGGCTCACCTTAAAAATGAGGCTCACAACCTGACACTTAGCTTTTCTACACCTAGGCAAACAGGGGGCAATGTACATCTAGTGCTAATTAAATTAAATATCCAAATACTGGGGTTTCAACAAACACAAACAAATTCAGAAGCATGAACTATACTACTTTACTTGGAATATCAATGACAGCCTGAGTAACAAAAGAATAAACCTGGATAAGAAAAATGCTCTGCTTACGGACTTTCCCTGGTAATATGCTGATTACTATCGCAGTTGATGCTGATCGGTGGGGTTTTCATCCCAAGGAAAGGAATATGTATTTCCATCCCAGGATTCAGACTTTTACTAATGACTACAATTAAAGCCACTGTTCAATTAAGGGCTTGAACAGTAGACGGTAACTACATAGTATAACTATTGGCCAATTTGGAGAATTTGGAACATAATCAATGAAACAATATCAATATTTACCATCCTAATTGTAAGTGACCTCCAAAAAACAACATGATGTTACATAATCTTTACATCATCCCTTTTTACTCTTGAAAAATTAAGAGAAATTCTTAGATGATGATTTCTGTAAATTGTTAGCAGAAACATGATTTTCTCTGAATCTTGCTGCTTGGTACAGATCATAACCCTAAGGAAAAAAGGAGCCTCCAGTGTTGTCTTTCTCTGGTGGGAAGTTAAATAAGACAGTGCTCAGGAAGGGACCATCGTAGGCATAGACATTTGTTCTCCCAACACAGAACTAGACTGAGATCTCCTCACATGCTTCTATCTATGGAATCTAGAATGAAAAAGAATTTTAAAAACAAGTCGAACTCGAGAATGTTTTTAAAAATTCTACTTTGTGGATTTTTACAGTCAATACAAAATAGTCTTATGGTTCTTTCAGCATATATAATTAAATTCAGCCTATTAAAATAGAACTATATGAATTAGACTTATTAACCAAAATTAAGAGTACATGGTGCTAAAACAATTGGTTGATTCAGTGGCAGTATTTATAAGTATACTATAAATAATTCCCAAACTGGCGATCATCTTTAGAAACTTTAAATTTTTAATGTTGCTCAAGTCTGACTCTAAGCTTTTGGGTTTTCCATCTTAAGAAGCTCCCCTCCCTTACTCCTACATTGCAGCCCACTACATTATAGAAATATTCTCATACAGCTTTATTTGTTACATTTATATCTTTATTGCATCCCACTTATCTGTATTTGAACAAGCATTGCAAAAAGATACACAGCAAACTGTTAGCTTTGGTTATCTAGACTTTGCCTTTACACTGTATAACTGGATCCATTATTATATATATATTGCTTAATAAAGAAAGAAAACAGGCAAGGTGCAGTGGCTCACGCCTGTAATCCCAGCACTTTGGGAGGCAGAAGCGAGAATATCGCTTGAGCGCAGGAGTTCTAGACCAGCCTGGACAACATGGCGAAACCCCATCTCTACAAAAAATACAAAAAATAGCCGGGTGTGGTGGCGTACACCTGTAGTCCCAGCTACTAAGGAGGCTGAGGTGGGAGGCTCACTTGAGCCCAAGAGGCGGAGATTGCAGTGAACTGTGATTGTGCCACTGCACTCTAGCCTGGGCAACAAAGAGAGACCCTGTCTAAAAAAAAAAAATTAAAAAAAAAAAAAAAAAAAAGGCAAGCAAGAAATGAGAAGAAAATAAAGAAAAAGAAAAAAAAAAACAAAGAATACTGTCTAGCTTTAAAAAACCATAAATGTAAACATTACCATGTTCACTGCCAAAATGAGAAAAAGAATAGCATAAAACAATTCATTGGGGAATATTCAAATGTAAAAGCCAAATATTAATCCAGGTTCTAAATAACCAGTCCTTGTAAACTATAGAATAGTAACTTTTTTTTCTTTTCCCTCAAATGATTTGACCAAATGGAACAATAAATAAACCCATGCCAGACAAAATTAAACTGTGGTTCACCTAAAGATCAAGCTTAGGCTAATTAGTAAAAGGGGCCAGACCAGACGGTGATAACCAGCCCAACAGAAAGAGAAGCACATGATTAAGCAGGCAGATGGCCACTTGCAATTTAATGAGCACACACTTTTTGATTTGGTTTGATGGCCCAACTAGGGAAGGTCTTTATCTTAAGCTTTTCCCTTGAGAGCCCTGTATGGCTGGACTCCAGTGATTTGTTCAGGTTTGAGCCCTTTTCCTCCCAGAAACGGCTTCCACAATTCATAAAAAGCTTAATGTCTATATCAAACAAGCACAGATCAGGGCGCCACACTCGTTTAGATGGCATGCTAACTTACTCTTTACTTCCGGCTTCTGGAAAAAGCAGAGTGGAAGGAAAAATAAAATGCTTTTTCATCTTCCAGCGATCCTGTTTAAAAAAAAAAAAAAAAAAAAAAAATTAAACAAAACTATATCTTACTTAAATCATTTCAAGACCCACCTTAAGTCAATGTTAGCAAAAATTTGTCGAGAGCCATATGAAGGTAGAATCAGCCCGCAGGACAAGGCCCAAGGATAGAAATGGATGAACTCAGGAGAGAGAAACAAGGTACAGATTTAAGAAGGGGCCAAAAACATGTCTTCATATTTCTCAATTTTGTTTAAAATGAGCACATCCTGTACCATTTATGATCAGCTCCAAAAGCTCTTCCCCGGAGCGAACTGTCCATACAAATAAAAAAGTGCCTGTTTATTAAATTGCAAGTGGCTATCATATATATTAGAAAGAAATACCAAACAAAATCATAGATATTTCTGACAAGATATAAGCAGAATATATACACCTTTAAGTATTTTCTCTTTCACGTAAACATTTATAAAAACCAGGTGAAGAAACGAATGTGCAGAAAAGGGATTATGGCTCAGTCCAGCTATGAGTTTTTCAAGGGGTTGCAGCTCAAAAAGTATTTAAATAAATAAAAACTGGTGGTTTTTAAAGTCAGTCTGAAGTTACTGTCATAGTATCTTGGGTTTTGTTTTTGTTTTTGTTTTATTTTTCTAGATTTACATATATACAAAGCTAGGGAATGTAAAGAATATAATATATATTATAATATATAATAAAGTATACGTTATATTCTTTTTCTAGCTTTATATGTGTACATATATGTGTTACATATTTATATATGAACGTATATAAAGCTAGGAAAAGAATATAATATATATTTAAGTGGATATATAAATATATATGAAATAATATAATGAAATAATATACATACATAATAATAAATATATATATTTATTCATACATATATATGTGGTTGTCTGCATTAATTCCCCTTAAAAACCAAAATTTTCCAAACTATTTCTGCCAGAGTCAATATCCTTTTCATTCACAGCAAGTTCTAAATTGAAGACTTACAAATTAAAACTCAAACATTTTTTTACCAAATAACTTCACAAACATGTTAAACAGGAAAAGGAAGTTAGAGTTAGGAATTGCAAGGCTATAAGAATATTTCTTTCCTAAAGGATTGGATACGACTGCCAACAATTCCGTGGTTTTAGCTGCTTTCAAAAAAAGGAATGTGATAATAGCTCCTGGGTGGAATAATTTTGGCTGGACTTGATTAAATCTAAGCTTAAAACTTACAGAGAACAGCTTGGACTGCATTTTTTTTTTTTTTTAAGAAACAGCATTGCATTTCATTTGACTGTGTCTTTGTCAGATTTGGGGCCTTTGAGGAGTCTGGCACTAGATTAGACACTAACAAAGCGAGCTGGAATACCCTGGGTAATATGAGTTACATAACTCCAATCAACACTGATGAGTGTGTGTCTATCTAAAACCCTGCACGTGTAATTTTGGAAAGGAGTTCTAAATGATTTTAAGGCCCCTTCCTTTCACAAAGGGCTATCTTACTCAGCTCCCAGAAAGTAATCATTCCAAAAAGCACAGGGCACACCCAGCTGGTATTTTTGTTTGTATTCTATTGTCTTTTTCTTTTGGTAAATAAATCATCTTACATTCCCTAGAAAAGCATCTACATTTTGCATCCAATATCTTAAACTTTGTTCTTGACATTTTTCTGGTGACTTCAGGACACATGATTTTAACACCACTGGTGAGAATTTTAGAATACTTGAAAAAAATCAACTATATATTAAAGAACTCCTCAACTCTTTGTTTTCCAAATTCTAATACAAATAATATTCAATATGGAATACTGTTCTATGAGTTTCTGGGTCCAGGACAAGACAGATTTCTCCCCACTACTTCTGCTAAGTACAGCTAGAATCTCTGGATATTATATATTAAATACACATAAAAAGACTCTGAAAGGTAGAACAAAAAAAGCAGCCTGTCTATGCACCTCATGATTCAAGAAAGATGCAGTGATAAGTTTCTTGGGTTTTCTTTTTCTTCACATATTCCAGACTTGGAGCTGGAAAAGCCAGCAGCTTAGAAACACTGAACAGCCCAGAAACAAACAAACAAAATCTCTCAAGAAAAGCAAGCACTCTCTAGCCAAAAGACCTAGAAGAAGCAGCCTGAAAGGAGAGAAAAGAGAAAACTTTTTTAGACAATAACTACTCTACTCCAACCAAACATCGTGGAAAAAAAAAAAAAATGTGAACCCCGCCAAGCCCCATTAGCAAAGGCCAAAGGGCAAATGGGAAGCTTACACTTCCATCCGCATCCAGCTGTAATAAAGTATCACTCCCTCTGCCAAGCTTGTGTCAGACAAGAATAAGTAGGGAGCTGGGACTTTCAACCCTGCTTGACAGTAACAAAGCACTCTTCTCTCTACGTGGGTAGTTTCAGAGAAGGCTGAATGAAAAGCCTGGACTTTCACCAACAATATAGCATCTGTGGAGGCCACCTGGAGAACAGTAACAAGATGCCCTTCCCTGTCCCAGCCAGTGTGGTGTCAGCAGAGGTCTAGCAAGAAGACTGAACTCCCATCTCTATCCAACAGTAACAAGGCAGCCTCTCCATCCTGGATGTCAACAAATGCCAAATGAGGAACCTGGACTCCAACTCCAATATGGCAGTAACAAGGTTGCACTACTCTTGCCCCACCAGTGTGGTTTCATAGGAAGCCTACTGAAAATACAAGATTTAAATAGGATCCAGAGTAGTCTCATAACAAAATACCTAATATGTGCTAGATATAATTGATCATCATACCTGGATCATCATACCAAGAACCAGGAAAATCTCAACTTGAATGGGAAAAGATAATCAATAGTCACTGACACTGAGACGTTACAAATGTTGGAATTATCTGACAAGAATTTTAAAACAGCCATCACAAAAATGGCTAAGAACCCACTTGAAACAAATGAAAAATACAAATGAAATAAAGCAAGTCTCAGCAAAGAAATAGAAGATATAAAGGAGAACAAAATGGGAATTTTAGATCTGAAAAATACAATAACAAAAATGTTTAAACTCACCAGATGGACTGAATAGCAGAATGGAGAAGACAGATAAAAGAATGAGTGAATTTGAAGATAGAGCAATAGAAATGACCAATTTACCAATCCAAACAACAGAGAGAAAATAGACTGAGAAAAAGATGAAGAGAATTTAAGAATTTGTGGGACTATAACAAAAAGATCTAACATTCATGCAACTGTGGTCTGAGGAGAAGGAAAAAAGGGCAGAACTGAAAAGGCAGTTTTTAAATGTATGCCTAAAAATTTCCCACAGTTGGCAAAAGACATAAACTTACAGATTCAAGAATGTAAATAAACTGTAAACAGAATAAACACAAAGAAATGTATACCGTGACACAGAATGTTCACACTGAAAACTAAAGATAAAGAAGAAAGTCTTGAAAGCAATGAGAAGAAAAAACATCTTACCTATTTTGGGTGGTGAGTGGAAAGCAGTGGAAGAAACAATTTCATTGTCAGCAAATGTATCATGAGAAACCATGGAGGCCAGAAGGAAATGGCACAATATTTGTCAAATGTTGAAAGAAAAAAACCCTTATCTAGTAAAAATATCCTTCAAGAATGAACAAGAAATCAAGATAGTCTCAGATAAAAGAAAAGTAAGAGAATTTATTGTTAGCAAACCTTCTCTAAAAGAATAGCTAAAAGAAGTTTTTGAAACAGAACAGAAATGATAAAAGTTATCTTGAACATCAAAAAGTAAGAACAAAAAAAGTAAAAATTGGAGTAAATACAATAGATGTTCCTTTACCTCTTAAGTTTTCCAAATTGTGCTTGATGGTTGAAGCAAAAGAAATGTTAACATCATTTGATTTGTTTCTTAATACCGGTAGGGGAGATATTTAAGATTATTACATGATAAATGGGGGTAAAAGGGCCTTTAAAAAGTAAGGTTTGTGTACTTTATTTGAACAGTTAAATGTCAATACCAGTAGACTACAATAGGGTGTGTGTGTATGTGTGTGTGTGTGTGTGTGTATGTATATATAAATATATATATATAAAATATATACGTGTGTGTGTGTGTGTTTATGTGTGATATAACACCCAGAGCAACCATAACAAAAGAAAACAAAGACATACAATTAAAACACCACAGGTAAATTAAAATTGAATTATTTGTAAAAGTGTTTCAATAACTCACAAGAAGGCAAAAGAGAAAAACAGAGGAAACAAACAAAAAATAAAATGAAATAATTAACTGCTAACATAGCAATAATTGCATTAAATAAAAATAGTCTAAATTTACCAATTAAAGAGGTTGTCAGAGTAGATTTTTTTTTTTTAATTTAAAAGCAAAAATATGACCCAACTATATGCTGCCTACAACAAACTGCACACAACTTGGATGATACTCAAGAGCATTATGGTAAGTGAGAAAATCCCTTCTTGAAAGATCACATGATATATGATTCCATTTATATAACATTCTAAAAATGGAAAAATTATAAATACAGAGAACAGATTAGTGGTTGTCAGGGGTTAGGGATAATAGGGTTGGAAGGTGGAGTAACTATAAAGGGGTAGAATGAAAGAGATCTTTGTGGTGACAATTAGTTCTTTATTTTATTTTATTTATTTTATTTATTATTTTTTAAGTCCTCTCTCCATCTGAGCTGAGGGAGGCAGGAGGCGAAGGGCTAATTCCTTAATTGCAGTGATGGTTACACAAATCTACACATTATAAAATGGTATAGGTCTATACACACACATTGTACCAGTATCAATTTTCTAGTTTTAATACATTTTTCCAATTTTTTATTGTGGTAAAATACACATAATACATAAAATAAAATACATGTAAGAATAAAAATCTTAACCATTTTAAAATATACATTTCAATGGCATTAAGTACCATTCACAATGTTATGCAACCATCATCTCCAATAACTTTTCATCTTATAAAACTGAATCTCTATACCCATTAAGCAATAACTCCCCATTTAGTAACCCTTTCCTCCCTCT